TCAGTGTAAGTGTACTTTTTGGTGGAAACCCCGACGTACCCTGATTTTTGGTATTTCGAAGGTCTCAGTCGCAATTTCCAAACAAATAAGCTGTAATTTTACATTTAATTTTAACAGTGAGTGTTTTATCTTTTCGCAAAAAATATTGAACGTAAGTCCTTTTTGGAATAGCCCCCATATAACCATAGCTTCTGATTTTCGAAATTTTTAAATTGTGGTCCTAGGTTTCAACCATGGTACCATGACAATCAAATGTAAATTAACATTTTGGACTCTCAGTGTGTAGTTTAACACATCGCAGAAAGAATTCAATGCAGATTCATCTTTTGGCTCCAATATAACCATAGCTGATTTTCGAACATTTCAAATCAATCCAAACATTTTAATAAAATCCAACCAAATCAACTGAAATTTGATATTTCGGGTTCTTAGTGGGTAGTTTTTTGATAACTCCGTAAATTCTATTTTTTTTTTCAATTTTGTAAGTTTTGGCCCCATTTTCCAAGCAAATTAGTTGTACTTTGACATTCAATTTATCAGTGGGTTCCTGAACTCTTCAAAAAAATATTAAATATATATAAATAAAATATATTTTGAAGTCAACTTCCCTCACTAAAAAGTTTAAAATGGATATACTTGAATTATATTTCCTAAATGTGTAGTCGGAGCTCAAATTTAGACTAAACCAAATTGGTATTATATACATCATTGATTCTGCTTTGACACTTCTTACACATAGCCCATAGCTTCATGTTTCAAAGTTTAGTCGATTTGATTAAGTTTTAGATATTGTTTTTGATTGAATATCGGAAATGTGTCAAGCTTAATAGTAGCCAATTTGATTCCGCAAACATATTTCTGATATTTTATAATAAGACACACAACTACCGTATTTCGATTTTCAATTCAATTTATTTCTTAGATTTCATTTACATCTCTACCAAATTTTATCCACCTACACCCTCTCTTCTTACCATACATTTTAAGATATCAAGTTAATAGGGTTTCCCCTGACTATTATCATGCATATTGTTCATGATTATATGCCGCTAGACTTCTTAAACTTGAACACAAAAGATACTCTTAATATTTTTCACATTATATGCTTCTGGCAAAACCTTGACCTAATTTCTGTTTCCTTCCCGTATGTTTTTACTTTAAAATATAATAATGAATTAAAAATCGTCAGACAACACTTTCTTTTTTTCAAAACAGCTACCAGCTATATATATTATATAGTTTTTTTTTTAATTTCATATAACTTTTCCGCTACTTCTCCATGTGAATGATGATGTTCGTATGTGTGCTGTAGTAGACCATCCATCCATTTATGCCTTTAGTAACAACTAATAAAACAAAACGGCTAAAGTAATTTTTGGCCAAATATCATTAGATATGTGCCAAGTTTAAACAGATTGTTTCGCTTTGGGTGTCTTTTCGAATTTCGCATTGTGTGTTATGTTATTATGTGCTGCCTCCTCTACATACATATATAAAAGTGTAAATGTTATGATCGTTCGCCGCTAATCTCGTATTTTTTCACTTCATACTAATTCTGTTTTTTTTTGCACCACTCAAAATATCCACCTGATGGTGTGCTGTGATATCGTATATATGTTAATGCGTCTAATTTTTTTTGTTTATAATTTCTAGAACATTGACTTTTTAGAGCTACGGCATCGATGTGAGTGTGTGTGTGTGTGATTGTATATACTTTGGCTTTATTATATAAAACCGTAATGACATTTGATATTCGATTGTTTGAAACAGATAGATGAACAAGAAATAATAATAATTACAAAGCTATTTTTGGTAACGTGCAATTTAATTTGTTGAATTAATAAAGACTTATTAATTCATTTTAATTCAACAAATGTGTATTTTTATGTATGCTTGGAGAAAGGCCTTGAATTTTTATTACTTTTGCTGTAGCTCTCTGATGAATTTATGAGTTGAAAAAATACAGTTTTTTTCTAACTGAATTTTTCCTATTCATGTGCTACCACTATATGGAGGTATACAGAGTGAGATAAAAAAAAACTGCTACAAAGTCAAACGTCATAATTTTTACTTTTTTTTTAAATGAAAGCAAAAAATGTCGGAAATAGCATCAAATTTTAGAATAAGTTTAGATTTGTTCCAATTGGTCACCTTTAGAACGAATTATGGCCTTCAAACCGCCAATGAAACCGTCACACGCTGCCCAATTGTTGCTCTGCGGTATTTTGGACCATTCCCGGCGAAGCGCTTGCTTAAGGTGATCGACACCTTGATATTTTTTAGTGCCAACCTTGCTTTCCAAAATACTCCAGACACAATAGTCCAATGGATTGGTATCCGGAGATTTTGGTGGCTATTGTGCGCTGGACGTCAAGGAAGTGCCTCAATGGTTACGTAAGTGAGGAGAATTGTAAATTTTCGAGTAAAGACCATTCAAAAAAATTTTAAAAACAAACAATGCATCCTGCAAAGCCACAGTTTAAAGGGGTTCATGGGCTGATGAACATTATTGGACCGTACTTCTACAAAGATGCTGCGGATCATAACGTAAGCTGTGAACGCTAATGTGAGAGCTTAATTTGCAACATGTGGTTTCAAGTTTTGCGAATATTTGGTGAATATTTTATTGCATGTTCGCCTTTTGACTACTTTTTGTGTGGCTATGTTAAAACTCATTTCTATAAAGACGAGTCCATTGCAATTGACGCATTGGAGGACAACAGTGAAGCATTTATCCGTAAGATACCGGCCGAAATGTTTGAAAGAGTATACCAACATTCAGGCGCAATCGCTGCCAACATTTGCAGGAAACAACCTTCAAATATTAAATACATAATATGGACTGAACTGTCAATTCAAATAAAGATTTCCTGATTTTTCTGAAGCTCTGAAAAATTCACCCTTTATTTATTATTAATTTAATATTAAATTTAATTAATTTATATTTTATTTATTTCCAAAAAATTGAAACGTGTTTTCACGTTTCGACAATGCTTTTTTGAGCTTTGTCGTTTAATTTTTTTTTTGAAAATACCCCATGGGTATAGGTATTTAAATCTCTTCAACTTTTGCTGACTAGCCCACATTACACCCTCTCACAAAAAAAAAAAATTTATTGGAGAGCATTATTTTTGTTACGTTTTCATGTTAATCTCACCCTCCCACCCTCTCTCTCGCACACACACACACATTTCTTTTTATTTATAGCAAAGCAAAAAAAGTATTTTGGTTAAAGCACGTGATAGTTTAAATTTATATAGTTTCACGTTGCCAAAAAAATGCATTCCAAAACAATCGTTGATAGTTGCTGCTTTTTACCCCTAACCAAGGTGGTGCTTAGATGATGATGGCAGCGATCATTAAACTGGTTGTTGGACAATTAATGACAACGTGTTTTTGTTTGATCCGACATGAAACATTGAAGAAACACGTGTGTGTTTGGCTATAATACAGCTGGTTTGTTGCCATGCATGTACACACAGACACTTTTTTGCTTTGTGGCTGCATCGTTTCTCGCTAGCCCATGACGTGTTATTACACCCCAAATGTTCTCTTTTTCTCTCGTTCTCACTCCTGTGGAAGACAATTTGCAATTTGATATTTGGTTTCCTGTTTAACAAAGTTTAGAGGATATCGTATTGGTATTTCTGCTGCTGTACATCATATAGGATAGGGGTGGTTTATGTTTCTCCTATATGAGGATGAGTTATTTCTCTGGTTCTCCAAGGATACTTATTCAAGATGTGGCACTGATCTCCAATGTTTACTTTTCTCCCCAATTTATGACAGGAAAAACTGATTTATTTACTATACAAATTTTAAATCTTGAAGTCTTCACATATTATCGTAACAACAAAGCGGAAATGAAAGCTCCCATACATGCTTTTGAAAAATTTGAAACATGACCCGCTCTCAAATGTCATTGATCCTGAAAATGACCATTTCATTGGGAGATCGAAACCGGTTTAAAGGCATATTTTACGCCTTTGTGTTTAGTCATATTGTTACTTATTAGCTTGTAAGAGAATAGCCGTTCGTTTTTATACAACTTATCTGATTTTTATTAGTAAAGTGTGTGATTAAGCATGAATCATCATAATCGAATTGGTATTTTTTTTCTGTTTCGTTAACTTTAGCAGCCACCGGCACAAAATGGGGGCACTGCCGAGGTGCATGTAAATGGCATGAGCAATGGACATAGCAGTAGCAGCAGTAAACATAAGTCAGTCAAGCAAAGACAAACATCGTGATAAGGATAAGGACAGGGATCGTCACAAGAGTTCTTCATCTAGCAGTCACAAAAGCAGTAGCCGGTAAGTAAAAAAATAATGCTATTTATTTTGATATGCATTCTAATCATATTTTTATTAATGAATCATTCACACATAATATTGAAATAAAAAAGTATCATAAAAAATTTAATATTAAATTTGTTTTATATATTCTACGCACTTTGCAGTGATAAAGAGAAGCACAGCTCCTCATCCAGCTCGAGCAGTGGCAAAGATAAACATCGCGATAAGGAACGCGATGAAAAACACAGCAGCAGCTCCTCATCTAAATCCAGTCATCGTGACAAAGATCGCGAAAAAGACAAGGAACGCAGCAGCAGTGATCGCGATAAACACAAATCATCTTCATCATCCTCATCGTCGGGACACAAAAGTTCCTCCAAGGATAAGGAGAGACGTGACAAAGATCGCAAAGAAGGCAGCAGTTCGAGCAGTTCATCGAGTAAAGACAAAGACCGCCATCACAAATCTTCTTCGTCGTCTAGTTCTTCCAGGGACAAGGATAAAGATCGCCACCACAAAAGCTCCTCCTCCTCATCATCCTCATCATCGAAGCATAAACATTCCAGTTCTTCTTCATCGTCGAAATCTTCTTCGAAACACGATGGCGATGGTTTCATTAAGCCAGAACCGCTCTCGCAGCCACAAGAAAATGGTTTCAATAATGTTCTGGCCGACATTAAAATGGAAGAAGTTAAACATGAACAAGATATCAAACACGAAACGTATAACAATCACAATCATGAAACCTATCAAAAAGGAAGAAGTTAAACAGGAAATGTTTAGCCAAGATCCCCTAGATAGTAGCTACAACAATGGCTACCAAAAGGAACATTATGAAATGAATGCTCCTTTTGATGTATCACAAGCTAGTTCATGTGATTATTCCATGTCCCAGTTCAAAGAGGATGAACCGGCATTTGTGGCCAAAGAAGAGGCCAGCTATAATGAAGACGATTCTCAAGAAATGGATCAAGATGAATCACAAGAACAAAACTATGATGACAATAACGAGGATGAAGATGATGATGAGGATATGCCATTGGCAGCACGTAAATCCAAACAACAACATCAAGTGATTCAAGAGGAAGAAGATGACGAAGAAGACATTCCTCTGGCTAAGCGTAAAATCAAAGCCGAAGAAGATGAGGATGATGAAGATGTTCCATTGTTGGCACGTAAAAAACCCAAAAAAGAAAAGTCCAAGGAAAAGAAAAAGAAACGTGTCAAGGAAGAAGAAGACGACTACACCGAAGTTAAACCCAAGAAATCTAAAAAGACTGCTGCTCCAACGGCTAGCGTGAAAACTGAAACCGCTTCACCCACAAAACGTGTCAAAAAAGAAAAGAAAGCTGAAGAAGAGGAAGAAGTTTGGAGATGGTAAGTTTTATGTTTCTAATAATGACTACTGTGATCGAAAAAAGCTTGCAGAGCCAAGTAGTGATCAGACCACGAAAAATACTAGCTACTTGTGGGATTTACACCCACAATAGTTCATAAACAAAAATCCGTGTTTTTGGAAAAGAATACGAAAAAATGCTGTTTTCTCTCGTATTTATCTTCAGTCCAATTCTACTCATGAATAATTCTATGAATTTAAAAGTTACGACGGCTCACCTTCATAAAAGTCATAAATGCATGAAATCAGTAGTGTTAAAACAGTGATTAAGCAAAAACTCATTTCCTTTACATTTTAGTGTCAGGATGCCAAAAAAAACTCTTAACGGTCCATGTTATTTCCTTTAGTTTACCAAAACATTGCCAAATGTTTACTACTAAATTTGAAAATTGGAAATTACAAATTATATTATCCAACACACAAAATTTGCCATTCCATCCAAAGATATAGCTCTACTCCACTCCAAAGAATTATTTGGCACATTGCTGAGCCTCAAAAAGGAATGAAAAAATAATTGTTAACGACTATTTCATTTCCCAATCTTAAAAGTTAAAGGCACCTCCTGCATATAAAACCTTCGAGCTGGTGATTCTTGCACCTTAATTGTTAGGTTATGTTTACGTTACATCTGTTCATTCTTATGGTATCAATTTGGTTTGAATGTTTTTGTTAATGTCGCACGGAAAATCCTATAAATACTTGAATGTTACCTATTACCCCACCAAAAATTAATTTTTATACCCTCAGCCATATGGCTTCAGAGGGAGGGTATATATCATTTTATTAATATTCTGTGCGTGAATTTTGATTTGCAGCTGTATAGGGTCATATGGCTGTTGATATTTATGTTATCAATTCAGCTTGAATGTTTATTGTAGTGGGTAAATTTCATGAACGGTAAATTAAATTTATTTACTGAGGGGAGATAAACTACTCAACTGTAACGGATTTTGTATTTTCTCGCCAAAATCAGTTTTTTTTACCAATGCAATTTTCTGTGCCCGAACTATGAATTACAGCTGTTTTTTGTGTGTTATCAATTCATTTGAATGCCTTATACACACAACGAATAAGTCAGATGTTTTTGACAACTATACCCAAATGTTAGGTTATGCACATCATTTAGTTGATATTATACACGGTAAATTTGCGTAATGCATTTAAATTTTCTTCTCCCTGTTTTTGCAATGAAATATGGCAAAAACAATTGCATTTACTGCAATGAATTTATCTCGAATAAATCAAACAATAAAGCTAAAAGATTTGGCAATATTTTTTGAAAGAGAATTAAGATTATTCCCCTCTGCCAGAGGTGGGCTTGCATGTGGTCTCCCCTTCTCCTCGTCGCTTTTCGGCCAAACTTATGCTACCAAGGCTACCAAGGCTGCTGCCAGTAAAAAGGTCTTGAAACAAACAAAGAAACGAACCACTCCTGATAATAAATTAACTAAAACAAAATCCCTTACTACTTCATCTTCTAAATCTCTCCCTCCTAGGTGGGAAGAAGAAAAGCGTGAAGATGGTGTCAAATGGAATACATTGGAACACAAGGGTCCAGTTTTTGCCCCTCCCTATGAACGTTTGCCGAAAAATGTACGTTTCTACTATGATGGCAGACCATTGGAGTTGAGCGAAGAAACTGAAGAGGCCGCCACATTTTACGCCAAGATGTTGAATCATGACTACTGCACAAAGAAAATATTCAACGACAACTTCTTCAAGGACTTCCGCAAAACGATGACTAAAGAGGAAAAGGATATCATTAAAGATTTTGATAAGTGCAACTTTGAAGAAATGCACAGATTCTTCTTGGCTGAATCGGAAAAACGCAAGAACGCCACTAAGGAAGAAAAACTAAAGAAAAAGGAAGAAAATGAGGCCCTTGTCAAGGAATATGGTATTTGTATTATCGATGGACACAAGGAGAAGATTGGTAATTTCCGTCTGGAACCTCCTGGTCTGTTTAGAGGTCGTGGTGAACATCCTAAAATGGGTATGATTAAGCGTCGTATCCAAGCCGAAGATGTGTCAATTAATTGTGGCAAAGATTCCAAAATACCCCAGCCACCTCCTGGTCATCGTTGGAGAGAAGTTATACACAACAACACTGTCACTTGGTTGGCATCTTGGACAGAGAATGTTCAGGGTCAAGTGAAATATATTATGTTGAATCCATCATCCAAATTAAAGGGAGAAAAGGATCACATTAAATATGAGACTGCCAGACGCTTGGCTAAATCAATTGATACAATCCGTGAAACATATCGCAACGAATGGAAATCGAAGGAAATGCGTGTTAGGCAACGTGCCGTCGCTTTGTATTTCATAGATAAATTGGCTCTGAGAGCAGGTAACGAAAAGGATGAAGATCAAGCCGACACAGTGGGTTGTTGTTCATTGCGTGTGGAACACGTAACACTGCACAAAGAATTGAATGGCAAAGAGAATGTGGTGGTCTTTGATTTCCTGGGTAAGGATTCTATACGCTACTACAATGAGGTTGAGGTGGAAAAGCGAGTGTTTAAAAATCTGGAACTTTTTATGGAGAACAAGAAAACTGGTGACGATTTGTTTGATCGTCTAAATACACAAGTGCTAAATGAACATTTGAAGGAACTTATGGAAGGTAACAAACATGATTTTGTGTATCTAAGATAAAGTATTAATATTTTCCTTTCCATTTTTCATTTATAGGTCTCACTGCCAAAGTGTTCCGTACCTACAATGCTTCAGTTACATTACAAAATCAATTGGATCTGTTGACACAAGACGACATGACCATACCTGAAAAACTATTGGCCTACAATCGAGCTAACCGTGCTGTGGCTATCCTATGTAACCATCAACGTTCCGTGCCCAAGAGCCACGAAAAATCCATGGAAAATCTCAAAGAGAAAATCAGACAAAAACGTGAACAATTGGATGATGCCGAAAATGAATATGAGGTAAGACAGAGAAAACAAATACATATCCAAAATATAAATGTATGCTTTGTAATTTCCACAGGACCTTAAGAGAGCTGCTAGAAAAGGTTCGGTCCGAGAGAGAGTCATTGCCGACAAGAAGTTCAAACAAATTGAACGCCTTAAGGAACAACTAAAGAAAATGGAGTTACAAGAGACTGACAGAGATGAAAATAAAACAATTGCTTTGGGCACGTCCAAATTGAATTATTTGGATCCACGTATTTCGGTGGCTTGGTAAGTGGTTAAAATATCCTTTGTGGAAAGATATTTCTATAGGGTGAGATAAAAAAACTGCAACAAAGTCAAACGCCATAATTTTTACATTTTTTTTAATTTTGTTGAATAAAAGCAAAAAATGTCGGAAGTAGCATCAAATTTTAGAGTAACTTTAGATTTGTTCGAATTGGTCATCTTTGGCACGAATTATAGCCAATGAAATCGTCATACGCTGCCCGAATAATGTTCTGCGGTATTTTGGGCCATTCCAACCAAACTTGCTTTCAAAAATACTCCAGACACAATACTCCAAAGGATTGGTATCATCCGGAGATTTTGGTGGCCATTGTGCGCTGGAAATGAAGCGAGGAACCCCAATTTTGTAACCATTCTTGGGTGGCGCGTGTTGAGTGCGATGGTGCTGAGTCTTGCTGGAATGTCTAAGGTCTGCGGTCAAAATGTGTTCGTGCAAAAGGCTTTAATACACCCTCTAGAATATTTTCGAGATTACATTCGGCATTTATTCTGATGCTACGGTCGATTAATACGAGCGGAGAGCGACCATCTGCAGTTATGGCAGCCCACACCATCACCATAGCCGGTGCTTGAGTTCTGGTGTAGTTTCTTCTTGGAGGTGTAGGTTGTTGCACTTTTGGAATTTCAATGGCTTTACCCCGAGCTCATTTTTCCATATTTGCCGAATGGAATATTGCGATATGTTCAGCTCACGAACCATTTTTCGATCAAGTCGCTTCTTTAGATTTCGAACCATTCCTGCTGATGTTGCTGTTTTCTTCAGTCTACTTCCTTGACGTCGGGCTACCAGTATCACGGTAACGAGCGATGGTACGAGACAAAAAAGATTTATTCACATTTAAATGCTGGAGTGTTCTAACGATAGCCACTTGTGGTTTTCCAAGCCAAATATAAAGAAATCACACTACCACACATTAATTCCATCACGAATAACTTTTTTCTGGAAAATTCTCACCAAAATGCTTTTGTACGCTTGTAAACAATATAATGAGCTGTCACTGGAATAACTGCTGTCGGACAAGTAGCTTATAAATGACAGAGTCTGAAGTTGGTTGCAGTTTTTTCATCTCACCCTGTATGCGTTTATGTTGTAGAAACTTGTTTCATTATAGAGTCGTTTTTTTAAAAGGTTACTTTGTGAAAAAGTCATAATCGATTAAATTTATTTTTGCTGTTTTCCATATACGGAAGTATTTTAACGTTTATCATGTTTTTATCCAATTCTAGGTGCAAGAAGAATAAAGTTCCAATTGAGAAAATCTTTAACAAAACACAACGGAACAAATTCATGTGGGCTATTCACATGGCTGATGAAAACTATCGCTTCTAAATCCAAGTTAGTAGAAGAGAAAAAGAAGACGATATGCAGCAACTATGCAGCTAACATCAAATTAAAATGTTTTATATATAAGTCGTATATATAAATAGTAAACAAATATGAATAATCCCTTCTCAAGCAAAACAAAGAGAAAGCCCACCCAAAAAAATAACAACAAAAGTAGGTTACATGCAATACTATACATACCAGTATGGTGTAAAAAAGAAACACAACCTTCAACTCAAAACAAACAAAAAAAAAAAAATATTTATTGAAAAGGTCAATATTATTATGATTTTATGAAGAATTTAACAATCCAAAATGAAAGATAATTATAGTGTTCAACATCATATAGTTATAGAAAAACAAGACATTTATGTTTTGTTTTCAAACTGAATTTTGATGAATATTTGAAAAAATTAAGTTTTTATTCGATTCTAATTCAGTTATTTTGATTAGATGATGAGTTGTGTCAGATTCTTAGCAAATTATTTGGAAATAGTTGTGGAACTATTTCAACATTTCTAAAGAAAATTGTAATAACTATGAAAATGTTTTATAAGAAATTACGTTGGTTATGCAAATTGCATATCTTTGTTTTGTGTCCCCCCCAAACACACACACATACAGTTTTTGCTATAAAATAATTCAAGTTATTTTGCTTCTTTGCTATAGGTTTATTTTCGAAATATTGAAACCACATATGAGGTTTCTTAACCACCACACACATCCCCCAAACACAGAGAAATATTCTTATGGCAAAGTTATTTTAATTTATATTTATAGTTTAATTTTATTTAAACATTTTTAGAACATTACATGCAGCAAAACGGTAACAAGTTCATAAAATTATGTCATACATAAAAAGATCTTGTTAAAAAATATTAATCAAGATAAATTGATTATGATCCTTTAACTATAAGTTATATATAAATATTAATTATAATTTTAAACAATTTTATTGAAACATTTTTTGTGCATAAGTAATTTAGTTAAAATGAAAACTTGCAATAACTTTTGAACGGGACCCCCTCCCTAACCAATTACAAGACAAGAACAGATAAAATCCAACAAATTTATATATTCTCTTTCAACTCCCAATTGAATGCTTTAAGAAATTATAAAGAGTTTAGTTTTAATTTTTTTCTTCATTTTTTACATTTTAAGTTTTTTTTTTTCTTCTTTAATATTTAATTATTTGTATTATTTTCCTTACTTTCATCTAAAAATCATACACTGTGCAATTATTTTTTTAATGGAAAAACTAAAAAATATGAAAAAATTCTTATGTTTATGATCCTCCCTCCCCATTTAAATACCTACCTACCTACCTATATTATTTAAATAAAAATTTAGTTTGTGCTTAAAACACACAAAATATATGAAATTATAAACCAATCAACTTTTCCCCACCACCCACCCCCCAACCATCCCTTATACGCAATTTAGTATCAATTTTTTGCCTTTGTTTATTATTTTGAATATATTTCAACTTTAAACTATTTTCTTTTTGGTAGGAAAAGTGATGAAAACAAAAACATAATGTTCTCTCTTTGCAACAAACCACAATTATTAAGCATTAGAGTTAGAATAAAGCCACAACTTTATATATATGAAAACAAAAAAACAACAACAAAATATATAAGAATTAGAAAAAATATTTTTTCTTTTAATTTTCTTTTATATTTTTAAGTGATACAACTACTGATATTTTAATAAAAAAAAAAAAAATAATAATTTGAATTAATTCAGATTATCTTATCCATATACACAAAACAAACACATCCATATTCATAATATAATTATATAATAATATAATTAACACATATTGACTTATTTCAAAAAAACCAAACGTATTTCAATAAAAATAAGATTTTTTGAGAACAAAAATACGTCTGGTAATTTTTATTTTTTTTTTTCTTAATGAAAATAAATGTGAACGCTATTACCAACCAATTATATTTGAAAAAAAAAAAAACAGAGCCATTGTTTTTAAAATTTTTCATCGGCAATGACCCAAACTTTCAGTAATTTTAATTTACAAATAGTTGGTCGGTATCACAAAGGGAAAGTCGTGTTGTAATTTTTTTTTTTTTGTGGCTAATTCAACCCTCTTTTTAAGCAATTTTCAACTATGATTGAAGATCTAAAACATTGCATTGTAGCTACCGCCAAGTTTATAGCAATATTTATATATTATAATGTCAAATGTTATAGTGTTGTATTTTGCTCTGTTCCCGAACTGGAAAGATTGGTCTGTTCCAGAACTGTTAGTCCAGCCTGAACCAACAAATCTCCAATTGAATCAACTTCTTTTCAAAAAGGTTTCTTAAACTTGGAAATAATCAAGTTACTGTCACAAATGCTATCCCACAGGGCAGTTGTCTGACCGATGCGTCGCAAATAAAACAATGGTTGGGGAATCTACAACATCTTCAAGAAACAAAGATTTGTTTTCAATATTGGCTTTAAAACCTCATCCACCTTTGGTGAGTTTTTTGCCCTTAAAAAGGCTCTCAGATTGCGGTGGAAGACAGAAAAGATAAATGTTTCCTTTCTACAGACAGTTTTGCTGCCTGCAAGGCTTTGGCTACTGATAACTCGGACAACTTTTTGGATGAAGAATTCCACAACATTCTACAAGATTCAGATTTTCAACATTGTCATGTCATATGTAATCCTGGGCATCGTGGTATCTCTTTCAATGAAGAGGTTGACTATCTTGCAAAACAAGATGCTGAATTTGGCGCCCCTGTTAGCTCTGAGCTCACGCCTAATGAGGCTCTAATGATGATTAAACACAAAATTGCCAATCACTGGAACGAGGAATTAACTTAAATTTCAACAACCATTAGAAAAACTTTTTCCAAATTTGCGAAAATGTTTTTGCACGTCCCTAGTACCTCAAACTGAACCTATCCTCGAAGAATACAAAATTAACAAAATTAATAAATAGGTTGATGGTTGCTTAATCTCATGACAAGGTGTTTCTACATCGCATTGGAGCAGTTGATAAAGATGTTTGCGATGCATGTGGCAGTCGTGAAGATGCCCAACATTGTATTTTTGAATGCCTGAGGTTTGTAAATTCCAATTTTCCCAGCCTCTTCTCATTTCACCATAAACTGACAAACCTCCTCCAAATCCGACACCAATTAAATTTTGAATGTTAGCATTGTTGTGTGTACTGTAAATGGCTTCCTCTTTGACACTCTCCCCTTCGATTAGTCTTTGAACAAACAGCTGTTGCGGCGCGTTGCCTCTTCCGCATTCTATACATTCGGCTTGTTGCCTCTTCCTTCATTCTTATACTCATTTGTGTACAAAATACACAGCATGGTAGAAGAATATAGGTAGACGCATCGACACAGCAGCTGGGACAATGAACTGTCAAACCAATTTTGGAATAAAAAATGTTGAATGAAAAATTATTTAAATTTGTAAAAATTGTGAAAATGCGTATTATAATAACCTCCGAATGACGTCGTATAAGAAAACACATAAAAATCTACTTATATTTGAAAAAACAAAAAAACATATTAATGTTCCCAAGCGTTGATGCATCTACCTGTATTTTTCTACCATGGTACACAGAAAGCACAGTTTGCCGCCGCCGATTGGTTTACACAAGTCTAATTGCCGCCGTCGAAAAGAATCAGTTCCACTTCGTTGTCTGGAGATGCATCAGTTGCAAATTTTTTTTCTCGGACTCACTCTCTCGTGTTTCGCTGATTCTCAAAATGAATTAAATCAACAAATTTTAAAATAAATTATATTTAATGGTGGCTATTTTGAAAAATAATACAGAAATTTAGAAACAAATTGTTGTAGATTCGTTTTTTTTCTTCTGATAAATCTCGGCAAAAACATGGCTCGGCAGCGCGATAACAAGGGTGGAAGTTCAGGGGAGAAATCTGGTAAACAAAAAACTAGCAAACAACAACAACACAGTGCTGGTGAAAATGCCGATTCGACGAAATCCAGCAGTACAACAACCACAAGTACCACTTCCTCAACGGCTGCATCGGAATCGCTGATCAATAAGACATCCAAGGGAAAACATCCAAAGAAGGCCACTTTTGAGGAGCCATCGTCGAAATTTGTGCTGAACAAATGGAAGACATTGGCCGGGAGTTTGTGTATGGCAGTAGCTGCCTACTTCTGTTATCAGGGCTATTTGGAGACACGTGTAAATACACCATTTGATAATCAAAAAATGGTGACACGAGCTGGCCTCGATGATCCTGAACGTTATTGGGGCTCCTACCGTCCTTTGAATTATTTTGGTATGAAAACTCGGGATCCCCACTCACTGGTAATGGGCCTGATGTGGTATACACCCTCGAATTTGGGTCATGGTGGCAAGGGTATACGTCATTGGTGTGATATGGGTGATAATTTGGATAAGTATGGATGGACACATCATGACGGTCGTAGTTTCGGTGTCCAGGAGATCCATGACTTACCCTTTGAATTGAAAACTTCGTTTGTTAAATATCCCAGTGGAAAGCAATTTGGTGGAGATTGGACTGCTAGGATTTCAGTGAAGAATACAACTCGAGCCTGGGACAAATCGATATCGTTAATATGGTATGTGGCCTTGGATGAACGTACAAATGGCCACATTAAATATGTGTCGGACGATAAAAGCCCAGAGCCAGGAGTGTATGGCGAAACATTGGGGCTGGGGGAGTTCCAGCTGAGATTCCATCCTGTGAAGGGACGCATACTACATAAATCGTATTTGTCCACATTGGCACCGTCCCTAAGCAAATTAAAGGAGACTGTATTTAGTCATTTCCGTGCATTTACCGATAAAAAGGGTCATCGTTATATTGGACTGCCCGGCGAAATGATATCGCATAATGGTCAGGCTCCGGCGGATCCTAATTTCATTGCCATACAAATCACAGCAGAGGTGGACTTTACACTGGACATAACATATCAATCAACGTCAGGATTCTCGGTTGGTGAAACCATACCCAAACCTCCAACGGGACGAGAATATACCGAGTCTTTGCAGTCACATTTGAATGCTTTTGATAAACGTTTTGAAGATACATTCCATTTGAAGGCAAAGGGATTTTCCAATGATGAGATTAAATTTGCCAAATATGCATTGAGCAACATGTTGGGAGGCATTGGTTATTTCTATGGATCCAGTAAGGTAGGCAAATAGATGGGGTGCAAAATGTTACAAAATATGGGATTAATGTTTTTTTTTCTTCAGGTCCAATCTGTTTACACCACCAATCCTGTGCCATATTGGAAATCAGCTTTGTATACAGCTGTGCCTTCACGTTCGTTCTTCCCTCGCGGTTTCTTGTGGGATGAAGGTTTCCATGGCCTGTTGATTTCCTCCTGGGACATTGACATTGAATTGGATATCATAAGTCATTGGTTTGACTTGCTGAATATTGAAGGCTGGATACCAAGAGAACAGATACTGGGTGTAGAGGCATTAGCCAAGGTGCCCGATGAATTTGTCATACAACGTAACACCAATGCCAATCCTCCAACTTTCCTGCTGACTCTGAAGAAAATACTAAAGCATCATAAACAGGAATTATCGCAAAAAAGTCGTTTGGACACTTTAGAACGAATCTATCCACGTTTACAGGCCTGGTTTGCCTGGTATAATACCACCCAACGTGGTGATATTCCTGGCACTTATCAATGGCGTGGCCGGGATGCGAATACGGAAAGGGAATTGAATCCCAAGACACTTACTTCGGGCTTAGATGATTTCCCCAGAAGTTCTCATCCGACCAGTAAGGAACGACATGTCGACATCAGATGTTGGATGGCCTTTGCAGCAAGTGTCATGGCTGAGCTTTCAACTATACTGGGCAAAGATGATCATAAATATTATGAAACGGCAGGGTTTTTAAAGGATAACGAGGTCTTGAATGAACAACATCTAAGCCCCTACACGGAGACCTATGCAGATTGGGGTCTACACAGTGATTCGGTGGTTTTGAAACGTCCTCAATTGACGCAGAAAAATTTGCAACGTAATCACCATCAGCAAATGGAAATGGTGCGAGTGACGTTGAAACAACCGGATTACAAATTTGTTGATTCCACCTTCGGTTATGTAAATCTCTTTCCTTTCCTGCTGGAAATACTAGATCACGATTCACCGTATTTGGGTAAACTGCTCAAAGATATACGTGACCCCCAGAAACTATGGACACCTTACGGGTTAAGGTCTTTGTCGAAATCATCACCGTTGTACCTAAAACGTAATACCGAACACGATCCTCCATATTGGAGGGGCCCAATTTGGATAAATATCAACTATTTGGCAGTTAAAGCTTTGCGTTACTATGGCATGATCGAAGGTCCATATGCGGCCTTGGCTAGAGACATTTATGCAGAGCTGCGAGAAAATCTCATACACAACATATTCAGAGAGTTCCAACGTACTGGCTACCTGTGGGAACAATACGATGATACCACGGGTCAGGGTAAAGGCTGTTATCCCTTCACCGGTTGGAGTTCCTTGGTTGTATTAATCATGTCCGAGCAATATTAAAAGAAGAGATTTGGCGAGATTGCATTGATGACGAAAGAAAATTAGTACAATTTTGTAATTTATTAAAAGAAAATAATGCAAAAGCGATAATGACCTACAAAATACTTAATTTGTTGTAGATGCATAATTTCAAAATGCCATTGTAGCTATGGCATTGGAGAGTAGATGAACATACAACAACTAATCCATATTGTATTTATAATTAGTAAATTTGTAATTTTTAATTGAATAAAAAAAAAAACGAAGGCCAAACTTAATCAAATTTAAATTGAAATCGTTTAAAAATTCAAACAAAACGATGATTAATAAAAAGGAAAAGGACAACAGTTAATTAAAAACAAAGTCGAGTGTTTTAATTTGTTGTATTGTAAAGGTGGGGAACAAGAAGACTACTTTTGACAAACGATTTGACAGTAAACATAATTGTTTTTGTTCTATTGTGATTTGAATTTCAAATAACAATTATGTTTGTTATTGAGAGCAAACATAGTTGTCCGAAGGGCATACTGGTCCACCTTATATATGCTATAACGTGGGCTTACTGGACCGAAAGGACTGCGAGGGATCAGACCTAAAACTTGTGGTGGGATTTATCACAGGTCACTGTAACATAAGAGCCATGACTTGTATGTGGGGAGACGACGACACTGAGTACTGCAGGCTTTGTTAAGAAGAGGAAGAAACTAGAACGGTAGAGCACTCACAGGTTGAAATGAAAAGACTGCAACCAATTTCAGACTGCTGTCATTTTAAGCCACTCGTCCGACAGCTATTAAAAATAATCCAGTGACAGCTCATTACTATTTTTATTAGTTATTCGACAGCTATTAAAAATAATCCAGTGACAGCTCATTACTATTTTTATTAGTTATTCGTGATGGAATTCAAGCGTGATAGTGTAATTTTTTTATATTTGGCTGGCTATCGTTTGAGCACTCCAGCATTTAAATGTGAATAAATCTTTTGTGTCTCGTACCATCGCTCGTTACCGTGATACTGGTAGCGTAGCCCGACGTCAAGGAAGTGGATGGAAGAAACCAGCAACAACATCAGCAGAAATGGTTCGAAAAGTAAAGAAGCGACTTGATCGAAACCCGCGTCGCAGTGGCCGACGAGTTAAAATGGCCATTCGGCAAATATTGAAAAATGAGCTCGGGGTAAAGCTAAATGAAATTCCAAAAAGTGCAAGAACTTACACCGCTGCAGAAACAACAGAAAATAGTATCAAAAGAGCTAAAGAGGTGAACTGCTGAATTTGGTTTTCTCCGATGAGATAACATTCGTTGTCCAGCAGTTTGTAAACAAACAAAACGATCGTGTTTACTTGCCAAAGAGGTCAGCAGAAAATATGCACCTTCGGTTGGCCACTAGAACTCAAGCGCCGGTCATGGTGATGGTGTGGGTCGCCATAACAGCCAACGGTCTCTTTCCGCTCGTATTAATCGACCGTGGCATCAGAATAAATTCCGAATATTATCGCGAAAATATAAAAATATTATCGCAGACCTTGGACATTCCAACAGGACTCAGCACGCGCCACCCAAGAATGGTTAAAAAATTAGGTTCCTCGCTTCATTTCCAGCGCACAATGGCCACCAAAATCCCCGGATACCAATCTCCGTCGGACTATTGTGTCTGGAGCATTTTGAAAAGCAAGGTTGGCACTAAAAAATAACAAAGTGTCTATCACCTCAAACAAGCGCTTCGCCGGGAATGGGCCAAGATACCGCAGAGCAACATTTGGACAGCGTATGACGGTTTCATGGCCGTTTAAAGGCCATAATTTGTGCCAAAGGTGACCAATTCAAAAAAAATCCAAACTTATTCCAAAAATTTGATGCTATTTCCGACATTTTTTGCAGTTTGTTTTTATCTCACCCTGTACTTTGCAACTGCCCAACTCTTTTCGGTGTTAGACATAGGCTAATGGGAAAGCAATTTCTGCACTATTTGTTTTCATTCTCCGAAACTGAGCCAGAAGATATTTATTCTTCAGTTAGCCAGAAGACTACAGTGCATAAAGACAACATCTTTGTCTTTGTCACATATTTTTTGGTCTTCACTTTTAAACTTTAGGATGAACACAATGAACCAATAATAGGTCTCCGTGTGTAGTTTTATAAGGTATCCTTACCTAATCTACTGGGAAAAAAGAAATTGTTGAGTTGAATTTTAAATTTTTATCAATTTTTCAATTAAAACATCTTCAAAGGTAAAGGCGAAGAACCGAAGTTTGCATTGAAAAATGAAAGTCGGAGTTGGCATAGTGTTAATGACCCACAAAACAATATATCCCCGACAGAACACACATACGCACATAAAAAAAACAAAACAACGTTAAGTTAATAAAGAATTTATTCAACTTTCTTTTCTTTGATTCTCTTTGATATTTGTTTTATTAATAATAAATAGCAATGTTTCATAAATACATACATATACACAATTTTATATATATATAGGTATTTCAATTATAGTCTTATATTCAAATGATCATGTGTGTTTGGTTACATTTCAAATGTATTGTTCTGTTCTGTTCTGTTCTGTTTTATTGTTTTTTTTTTTCTTAAATAGTCTATTTTAGCAATTCATATGCAACTCGAACTAAGAAAGTAACAATGTTAGGCTATTAATAAAATTTCGAATGCAAATACTTTTAAATCTTTATAAAAATTCTAGGTTGTAAAAATCTAGTCTTGGTTTGTTTATCCGCCAAAACATTTCTCCACCCATACACAATAGTTCTTATTTATTAAAATACTTATAACATACATTAAAAAAAAAATTATCTACAACCAAAGCTTAAGTACTGTCTTCTTACCCAAGAACTTAAATCTCATTCGAATACATTTTTGTGAAATTTAAAAATTGTTGACTTTTTACTTATTGCTAGAAAAAAAATAATAATAAAATGTATGAGGAAAATATTTAAAATAAAAAAAATTAACACAGTTATGAGATTTTGTTTTTTTTTTAAATAAACTAATATGTTTGTTAACTGTAATGAGGTTTTATCCTTGTCCCCAAGGGTCTTAATCTTTTTTGCTTCTAAATGGCGGAAAACGATCGAGTAAGGCATGGAATATACTGCCGGGTAGACGTTGATGTTTGTTGATTAAATCCTCCAGAGCGTGAGCGACCTGCGATGAGAGAGAAAACAGAGATTAAATGTATTAAATAAATATAAGACTTAACGTTTTTTTTAATGTCAAACCCTACAGGGTGAAATGAAAAAACTGCAACCAAATTCAGACTGCTATCATTTCAAAGCCACTCGTCCGACAGCTGTTAAAATTATTCCGGTGAAAGCTCATTATATTGTTTAAAAGCGTACAAAAGCATTTTGGTGAGAATTTTCCAGAAAAAAAAAATTATTCGTGATGGAATTTAGGCGTGGTAGTGTGATTTCTTTATATTTGGCTGGAAAACCACAAGTGGCTATAGTATAGAGCACTCCAGCAATTTAATGTGAATAAATCTTTTGTGTCTCGTACCATCGCTCGTTACCGTGATACTGGATGCGTAGCCCGATGTCAAGGAAGTGAATGGAAGAAACCAGCAACAACATCAGCAGAAATGGTTCGAAAAGTAAAGAAGCGGCTTGATCGATACCCGCGTCGCAGTGGCCGAAAAATGGCTCGTGAGCTGAACATATCGCAATATTCCATTCGGCAAATATTGAAAAATGAGCTCGGGGTAAGGCCATTGAAATTCCAAAAAGAACTTACACCGCAACAGAGAGAAAATAGACTCAAAAGAGTTGCTTTGCATGGCCGAAAGTGGTGAACTGCCGAATATGATTTTCTCCGATGAGAAAACATTCGTTGTCCAGCAGTTCGTAAACAAAGAAAATGATCGTGTTTACTTGCCAAAGAGGTCAGGTAAAAATGTGCACCTTTGGTTGGCCACTAGAAAGAACTCAAGTGCCGGCCATGGTGATGGTGTGGGCCGCCATAACAGTCGATGGTCACTCCTCGCTCGTATTAATCGACCGTGGCATCAGAATAAATTCCGAATATTATCTCGAAAATATTCTGGAGGGACCTTGGAAATTCCAACAGGACTCAACACCTACGCACTCAGCACGCGCCACCCAATAATGGTTGCAAGATGAGGTCCCTCCCTCTATTTCCAGCGCACAATGGCCACCGAAATCTCGGGTTAGAATCCGTTGGCCTGTTGTTGTCTGGGTTGTTTTGGAAAGCAAGGTTGGCACTAAAAAATACCCAATTGTCGATCACATCAACAAGGCTTCGCCGGGAATGGGCCAAAATACCGCAGATTAACATTCGGGCAACGTGTGATGGTTTCATTGGCCGTTTTAAGACCATAATTCGGGCCAAAGGTAACCAATTCAAACAAATCTAAACTTATTCTAAAATTTGATGCTATTTCCGATTTTTTTTGCTTTCATTCAATAAAATTCCAAAAAAAAAAAAGAAATTAAAAATTATGGCGTTTGACTTTGTTGCATTTTTTTATCTCACCCTGTATATATTCATTGAAAAACTTTTCAACAATTGAAAACCCCTAAAAAATAGATATCATATAAATTTTCCAACTCACCTTCACTTGCAACTGCTCCGGCGTCAACGAGCCATCATATTCAATTGGTTTACCCAAAAAAGTACGAAATTTCACAGGAAACCCACCATAGATGGGATACACCGGTATTCGAATGGTATTATAGAGTTTCATAAAGAATGTACGGAAAATACCAACTTGTCGGAATCCCTCACGTAAATTCTGTGTGAAACAGGGTATTATTGGCACCTGAGCCTCCAACGCAACTTTGGCAAATCCCACACGATTTCGCCACAACAATTCATAATAGTTATCACCGAATTGTGCCTCATACACACCACCCGGTGATATGGCCAATAGGTTGCCATCTCGTAAGATGTTGACACATGACTGCACTGTTCCGGGACTAATGTGGAATGCTTCAGATATTGTACCCCAACCGGGTAGCTTGAACAGGAAACGATCACCAATGGTGTAGATTAGACGATTCTCTTGCAACATCATGCGTGAATTTAAATAATACATATCGATGGGTATGGCACCGTGGTAGTAGACAATCAATGCTGGACCATCTTTGGGAATGTGTTCCATACCAATCACCTCGTAGCCATGATAGATGCGGGCATGGGCATCCCATATGGCAGCGACAAGTTTACGTCCAACCTCCCAGAATTTGCGATCTGAGCGTACCGATCGTAAAATGACTTCTCTGTAATTAAAAAAGAAAAGAAAAAACAAAGAAAAACACAAAAAAATTATTTATGAGTCATTACAGGAAAAAAAGATTGTTGTTTAAAACCGATCTACACATATCGTATGATTTCTGTTTATCACCATTATTATCATCAATAACCCCCCAAAAATACCTCCAGGCCTTATCTTTTGCCTATATTAATAAAAATTCTTTACCTACATCACCACATCAGTGAAGTAGGTTGGTTCCATGTTATGATTTGCTATCAGACATATGTCCATTGATTTTTCTTTTTTTTTCAATAAAATCATTTCTGGTTTAGTCACTACTGATTAGAGAGAAATATTTGTTTTGTTTTTGTTCTCGATGACCAGGCAGCCCCCCATCTTAGTTATATGCAAATGATTGATGGATTTATCAATGCAACAAAGTTGATAAATATTAGTTAGTACCCAAAAAAAAAAAACAAATAATAATATCAATATGTGAACTATAATTACATCATGCAATGAGTTTTTGATGGAGTAAACGAATTTAGTTAGTGTTTATTACAATATTTTATAAATTCTTTTGAGGTGAGGAAATTCAACTAAAATCAATAGGAAATCTAGACTATTGAAGAGTTTTTAGAGGTAGATATGGGGGGTGGAAAGCTAAACCACACTTAGAAGATACACAGGGTGAGATGAAAAAACTCAAGCAACAAACCACATTGCTGCCATTCCTAAGCCACTCGTCCGATAGCTGTTAAAATTATTCCAGTGACAGCTGTTTATAGGTGTGTCTGGTTACCCTAAAATTTGTAACAATTGTTACAAATTGTTACTAGAAGTCGTCTGTTAACCCGAAAGTTCTGCAAAAGAGAGCGGTTGCAGAGAGAAATTTTGATAGTTCTTTCAGTGAGAGTTTGCAAATTCTTGCAATTCTTCTTGCAATCTCTTGCAACTCTTCTTTTTCTCATTCATCGACATTCAATCAGATTTTTTCTATTGTTTACTTATTTCTTTTTGTGCTTTTAATTTGAAAATATTGTTTTGGAATTAACAAGCCTAATTGTTTTTGGAGAACAACTTTACAAAATGTGAAAAACATAAATATTAATATGTAATAAGAAAATAAAATACTATTTCCAAAATTTTTAGACAAATGCCATTAGCAACAGGTTTAAAGAATTCCGCGGAACACATCAAATCTATCTTCCTTTTATTGCTCATATTTTTATTTTATTGTCAATTTCCTTTTTATTTATAAAACTTGTGAAGTTGGTGGTGGTTCCTTTCGTTTAATTCTTTTAAAGGGGGACAAATTGCTTTGTTTTGACAAATCAGCTGATTAGTTGCAAGCTTCTGCAGGAATACCGTCTGTTTACTTTTCGCATTTTCTTTGCAAAAGAGAATAAAACTACCTTACTCTCTCAGAAAGATGTTGCTGGACAATTCCTGCAGGAAAAGTAGCCAGACACACCTAATAGAAAACATCTGATTGAATGTCGATGAATGAGAAGAAGAAGAGTTGCAAGTGATTGCAAGAAGAAATTTTTCCAGCAAGAATTTGCAAACTCTCACTGAAAGAACTGTCAAAATTTCTCTCTCCAACCGCTCTCTTTGCAGAAATTTTGGGTTAACAGACGACTTCCAGCAACAATTTGTAACAATTGTTACAAATTTTAGGGTAACCAGACACACCTATTGTTTGTTTATTTCTTTTTGTGCTTTCAATTTGAAAATATTTTTTTGGAATTAGCAAGACTAATGGTTTTTGGAGAACAACTTTACAAAATGTGAAAAACGTAAATGTTAATATGCAATAAGAAAATAAACGACTATTTCCAACATTTTTATTTAAAAAACTTGTAAAATTAGTATTGCTTCCTTTGTTTTAATTCTCCTTATGGGGGACAAATTGGTTTGTTTTGACAAATCAGCTGATTAGTTGCAAGCTTCTGCAGGAATACCGTCTGTTTACTTTTCGCATTTTCTTTGCAAAAGAGAATAAAACTACCTTACTCTCTCAGAAAGATGTTGCTGGACAATTCCTGCAGGAAAAGTAACCAGACACACCTTATATTGTTTACAAGCGCACAAAAACATTTCGGTGAGAATTTTCCAGAAAAAAGTTGTTCGTGATGGAATTCAAGCGTGATAGTGTAATTTCTTTATATTTGGCTGGAAAACCACAAGTGGCTATCGTTAGAGCACTTCAGGATTTAAATGTGAATAAATCTTTTGTGTCTCGTACCATTTCTCGTTACCGTGATACTGGTAGCGTAGCTCGACGTCAAAGAAGTGGGCAGAAGAAAACAGCAACATCAGCAGAAATGGTTCGTAAAAGTAAAGAAGTGACTTGATCAAAACCCGCTTCGCATTGGCCGAAAAATGGCTAGTGAGCTGAACATATCGCAATATTCCATTCGGCAAATATTGAAAAATGAGCACCACGAGCTCAATGAAATTTCAAAAAGTGCAAGACCTTACACCGCAGCGGAAAGAAAATAGTCTCAAAAGAGCTAAAGAGTTGCTTCGCTTGACCGAAAGTGGTGATTTCCCATCTATGGTGGGTTTCCTGTCAAATTTCGTACTTTTTTAGGTAAACCAATTGAATATGATGGCTCGTTGACGCCGGAGCAATTGCAAGTGAAGGTGAATGGAAATTTGTATGGTATTTATTAATAGGATATATTTTAGGAACTGATGATTTTTTAGGAGTTGTCAATCGTTGAAAGGATTTTCAATGAATATATACAGGGTGAGATAAAAAAAGGTCTAACGACATAATTTTTACATTTTTTTAATTTTATTGAATGAAAGCAAAACACGTCGTAAATAGCATAAAATTTTAGAATAAATTTAGATTTGTTTGAATTGGTCACCTTTGTCACGAATTATTGGCCTTCAAAAGGGCCAATGAAACCGTCACACGCTGCCCGAATATTGCTTTGCGGTATTTTGCCCCATTCCTGGCAAAGCGCTTGCTTAAGGTGATCGAAACTTTGGTATTTTTAGTGCCAACCTTGCTTTGCAAAATACTCCAGAAACAATAGTCCAACGGATTGGTATCCGGTGATTTTGGTGGCCATTATGCGCTGGAAATGAAACGAGGAACCTCATTTTGTTACCATTCTTGGGTGGCGCGTGCTGGGAGCGATGTCCTTTTGGAATGTCCAAGGTCTGCGGTCAAAATGTTTGCGTGTCCAAGGCTTTAATACACCCTCCAGAATGTTTTCGCGATAATATTCGGCATTTATTCTGATGCCACGGTCGATTAATACGGGTGGAGAGCGACCATTGGCTGTTATGGCGCCCCACACCAACACCATGGCCGGCGCTTGAGTTCTTTCTGGTGGCCAACCAAAAGTGAACATTTTCAGCTGACCTCTTTGGCAAGTAAACACGACCATTTTGTTTGTTTACAAACTGCTGAACAACGAATGTTTTCTCACCGGAGAAAACCAAATTCGACAGTTCACCACTTTCGGCCAAGTGATGCAACTCTTTAGCTTTTTTGAGTCTATTTTCTTTAGCTGCGGTGTAAGTTCTTGAACTTTTTGGAATTTCAATGGCTTTTAACAGCTGTCGGACGAGTGGCTTAGAAATGACAGCAGTCTGAAGTTGGTTGCATCGTGTGCTTCGAGCAGCATGTGACGGTTTCAATGGCCGTTTGAAGGCAATAATTCCTGCCAAAGGTTACCAACTCGAAAAAATCTAAACTTATTCTAAATTTTGATGCTATTTCCGACATTTTGAAAAATATTATGGCGTTTGACGCTTTTTTTACCCTGTATATTTTTTATATAAGCACCCTCCATCTGAAGAAAACCCCCACCGAAACTAGGGTATTTTCCATTTTGTATTTTCGATTTTTTAATCCACATACACCATGAAAAATTATAAATACTTTGACCTAAAACCACAAATAAACTGAATATATTTTGTATTTAAAAATTGACAAATAATAATGAAACACATGTTGCGCTCAAACTCAAAGGTTTTCTGTTTGGCAATGTCAAGGTTTTTCGTTGTTTACAAAGAAAAAAATTCAAAACAATTCCCATTCTTTGTATAAATTGTGCTAGACTTATTCAGAGGGGGAAAAATGGAGAAGTAAACATGGGCGTTATATTCGGTTGAATCGAATATGTTCCCTGCAAGAGAATTCTTGTGGCAAGAGGATTCTTGTGGTTTGAAGTAGATGCCTAAAGTGGGCTATAGTAAAATGTGTACCAATTAGGGCTATGTTCTGACACCTGTGGTAGAGTGCATTACAAACCCTAAATACCAAACTTGAAACAATTCCATAAGAAAATGCACCAAAATACCGAATTTCGGGAGGTACCATTACAGGGTGGCTTATACGGAAACGTGGACAGACCAATATGACTCTTTTTCAATACCAACCATCATAGACACAATGCAAACTATTGTGTCAAATTTTGGGACAGACATACAATGTTAAATATATTTTCTGCCGATCACAGATATTTTTATGGTTGCGGTGCACTGAACTTTGTAATTTAATATTGACCACTAGGGTTTATAACTGAATCATGAAAATAATTTAAAAAGCGTCAGTCGCTCAGCATATGAACATTAATCTGTATCCCATCTTCACTTGATCTTGTGTTGGTAGAAATATTGAGAATCGCCAAGTTTGAAAAGAATTGGATGCTGCATTTTATGACAGTTTTATGGGTATTCAAAATTCTATGGGAGGTACCAGAAGGTATACAGGATATATAGTTGGTGGATATATTGGGTTATGCCATAATTGAAGATAATCGGACTATTCTTTTCATTTTATAAGCGTTGTGAATATTTAAATTTTGACCCTCTGTGGGGAAGGTACTAGAAGGAGTTTTTTGTTATTGCCAATTTTCACACCTGACCTATCACTTATACAGGGTGAGATGAAAAAACTGCAACCAACTTCAGACTGCTGTCATTTCTAAGCCACGGTCATTGCTAGTTTTTGCCCCTATCATATACGCTAAGATATCAATTTTTTAATTAGGTGTAAAGGTGACAGTTAGTTAAGAACACGTTAAGTTATTGTGTGACAGCATTAATATTAGAAGTGTAAACAACTCATCGGAAATTCTTTTTTTATGAGTGAGTCGTTGTCAAATATTATAACCGGTATATAATTAAAACTTTGCTTTAAAATGCATTTAAATTTTATGTATTTCTGTTTCAAATTTATTATTCGTTGCCAATTTCAGCTGAAAGTAAATGACGTTTTGTGGATCGCACAAAACCTTATGGATTTAAAAATAATGAATTATGAGGGGGATTTTATCAATGAATCAAGAATAACGTCAAGCAACCAGTTTTGTTGGTAGGTAAACAATATTTGTTGCGGAAGTTAATACCTTGTGTTTGTTTTGCACTCAGTGACGTCGGTGTCAATAATGTGTGTCAGTAATGATGTGTGTTTATGGAACTAACTTTTTCAATCATAAAACAGATAAAAACGAAATAGTTCGAAAAATAAACTACGAAATGATTTATTAAAATATTTCAAAATATTGGGCCTGTTTCTCTGTGGTGATACGGAAAGGAAGGCGAATGATAAATACCATTTCAAATATAACTTTAGATATTTTTTTAATTTATTGTTAAAAAATGAAAATATTGAAAAAAATCATCTAGAAAGTTGCTTTTATTTCACATTTACATTGGTAACCTTTTAGGCCTGTAGTATTTCTTTAAAATACTTTAATAATTTAAAAACATTGTACAACTTTAAGACCAAGCAAACAGGGTGAGATAAAAAACCGCAACAAAGTCAAACGCCATATTTTTTACATTTCTTTTTTCAAATTCTTTTAAATGAAAGCAAAAAATGTCGGAAAAATTTTTAGAATAAGTTCGGATTTGTTCGAATTAGTTACCTTTGGCAAGAATTATGGCTTTCAAACGGCCAATAAAATCGTAAAAACGCTGCCCGAATATTACTCTGCGGCATTTTGGTCCATTCCCGGCGAAGCGCTTGCTTGAGGTGATCGACACTTTGGTATTTTTTAGTGCCAACCTTGCTTTCCAAAATACGCCAGACACAATAGTCCAACGGATTGGTATCCGGAGATTTTGTTGGCCATTGTGCGCTGGAAATGAAGCAAGAAACTTCATTTTGTAACCATTCTTGGGTGGCGCGTGCTGAGTGCGATGGTGGTGGAATCCCGTTGGAATGTCCAAGATTTGCGACCAAAATGTTTGCGTGCCCAAGGCTTTAATAGGACATCCAGAATATTTTCGCGATAATTCGGCATTTATTTTGTGACACGGTCGGTTAATACAAGCGGAGAGCGACCATCCGCTGTTATGGCGGCCCACACCAACACCATGGCCGGCGCTTGAGTACTGGTGGCCAACCGAAGGTGCACATTTTCAGCTGACCTCTTTGGCAAGTAAACACGATCATTTTGTTTTTTTTTTTTTTTTGCAAACTGCTGGACAACGAATGAATTCTCATCGGAGAAAACCAAATCCAGCAGTCAAGCCAAGCAAAGCAACTCTTTAGCTTTTTTGAGTCTATTTTCTTTCCTTTGCGGTGTAAGATATATTTGGAATTTCAATGACTTTACCCATATTTCAATATTTGCATAGAAGACCAGGAGAAGATCTTCTCGTAGAAGTTGATATATATTTTTCGGCCACTGCGACGCGAGTTTCGATCAAGTCACTTATTTACTTTTCGAACCATTTCTGCTGATGTTGTTGCTGTTTTCTTCCGTCCACTTCCTTGACATCAGGCTACGCTACCAGTATCACGGTAACGAGCGATGGTACGAGACACAAAAGATTTATTCACATTTAAATGCTGGAGTACTCTAACGATAGCCACTTGTGGTTTTCAAGGAAATCACATTATCACGCTTAAATTCCATCACGAATAACTTTTTTTCTGGTAAATTCTCACCAAAATGCTTTAGTACGCTTGTAAACAATATAATGAGCTGTCATTGGAATAATTTTAACTGCGGTCGGACGAGTGGCTTAGAAATGACAGCAGTCTGAAGTTGATTGCATATTTTTCATCTCACCTTGTAGTTATTCTGTCGTCCAGTGTAATTTGAGTAAATAGCCAGTAAATTCATTAAAAAAAAGTAATTAAAATATAATTAATCAAAAATTCATTGCTCATTGTGTTGTGGTAGGTAAGGCATCTCCCATATTGGCGATACAATTATACATTTATAGATTTCATATAATCGTATTTATTAAAAAATACAACTGCCAATGGCATTTGATTATCGTCCAGCATGAACAACATTTTAAACAACGTAATACATTATGCTGTTATCAGGGGCAAGAGGATCAACTATAACTAATACCGGTTTTTCTAATCACCGGCAAAGATATCGATAACGTGTGGCCCCCCCCATAAGTGTTTGCGCTGCCACAACCACTTAATCTCCTCGCTGATATTCAAAACAAACAAAGCCGTAGTTTCTCTGACGTCTGACGCATTAATAGTTTTCAGTTTTCTTTCTAGAAACTTGTCAATTGTAATTTTATACAATTGCAGACTTACCTATGTAATTTGTAGATAAACAATATCAGAAAGGATATATAAATTAGGGCCACAAATACCAGTGGCAGCAGGAATGTTACAATAAGTGGGGTCAATAGACGATACAGCCACAAAGAATAATCCAAATCAATATATGAAGCTGAAACGTAAAAAAAGACAAATAAAAAAAGTAAATAAAGAAAGCCTCGTTAGCATTGACAAGTAAAAAATTCTACTTACACAGAAATTCTAGCAGACCTTTTGTTATATTCTGTATGAAATCCATGATGATGATGATGATTGTACTGGGGATGGGCTATTATGGATGGGAGGAAAACAAACTGGGAGTAAGCTTAACACACGGTATTCGTTTTGGATTAGATTTCTGATAAATCCACTTGAAATGGAAGAAGAGAAAAGACTCGAAATCTTTTAAACTTTCTTTGTTGTGTTGTCTTTTTTTTTATTTGCCAATGTTAATGTTGGCTAAATTATCATAAACTGGGGTTATTATGGTAATGCTGTTGTTGTTGTTTTTATTGTTGTCTCTTCCCCAGTCAATAATAATGTTGGCTCTTCTTTTCTTCTTTCCCTACCTATAGCGCACAAAACCTGAATTCGCGGCGTTTCATGTGGTCACAAGTTGTTCTTGTTGTGTTTTGTCGGCTGATAGGTACCGTCCCAATTTCAGTTCTTTAACTTGAGGCGGTCTACAAGCAAGCTTTTACTTTTTCTTAGCAAAACATCTACAAACATACATATCTAGATATGTATATAATTCATTAATATATTGTTTGTATATTATGTTGCCATTTGTTTATGTTTTATTTTCGCATTTGTTTTGTTTCATTATTATTTCGTTTTATGAATTCTTTAACACCATGCTATGCTGCTGCTCTCATTGTCAGTTTATCCCCAATGTTGTTTGCTTTTCTGTTCGTGTGTTGTTGTTTTTGTTGCTAATAATAGTTAATTTTTCACAAAGCACTTGTTTTACGGTTCTATAGATTTTTTTTTAATTTAGTGTTTTATATTTTAGAATTTCGATATCTTCACGTTAGAATTTTGTTACTTTTCCTTCCAAATTTCATCAGAATTAGGATTTTCTGGCGAAACATTCGCCCACAACCACCCCTTTCAGTTAGAAAAACACTGATTTTTGCCAATACAAATATCAACTGTCAGATATACGAAAATATGATTTTTTTACTTCTTTGTTGTTGTTGCTGTTGTCAATTTGACTGGCGCTCAGCAGCTGTCACAGCGAATGGGATTAGTCACAAACGTAACGTAAAGTATTATTCATTGGGGGTAAATATCAAGAAGGACCGTTATCCTAACGTTTACACTAAACAAATTATATTTATTTATGTTTCTTTTAAATTGGAGTAATAATTCTTGGCATTTTTTTACATTTCCGTCAATTTAATATCAAATTAAACAAAAATTAAAAAAATGGTCTAAGAAAAAGTCTAAGAATTAAACTTAAGCCCAGTTCCCATTAATGCTGTTTACCATGATAACACTATGTTTACACCTGAATACACTTTTTACAACAACCTTGTTATTCAGTTTGCAACACCTCCAAATATTCGCCGGGATACATAAATTCAGAAAAATTCATGAAATCCGTAGAATTTAATGTTTGGAGATTATTTCATGGAAATATTGTTGTCTGACATGTGACAACGTCTTGTTTCAACCACATGTCATGAAATTCAAGCTCTTGCATTTTGGCAAAAAAAATTGGATATCATTTCACTGTAGCGCTCATCATTTACAGTAACATTACGATTCGTAGCATCTAGGCCGGTGTAAGGGCTTTCATTTCAAACCATGGTAGAAGAATATAGGTAGATGCATTCATGGTACAATCATGGTACAATGATATCAAGGTAGGGCTATGATACCATATGATTTTAATTTTTTTATTTTCTTGGCTTAATTTGTCATCTTTTTTGTTTATGTATGTGTTTTCTTTTTTTTCAAATCCGGGTGTTTTTAAAATGTTTATTTCAACGTATGCATCGACAAAATCTAGAGTTTTTGTAGCGAAATAATCCTTTAGAGATATATAGTACATGATTGTGAAAAAAAGTGTTGACCTTTCAATCAGTTATCGCGGTTTTCAATTATTTATTCAAAATAAATGCAACAAGTTGTTTGATTTTTTATTGTTTTGATACTAATTCTGACATTACAAGCCAAACAAGTAGACCTCTATACTTGCAATTTTTTCAAAGTTGGCCTACCTTCTCTTCATTGTACCATGGATGCGTCAAACCTTGGGAACATTATTATGTCAAAAAATTTGAAATGTTTTTACAAAAATAAGTAGAATTTTCAATGTTTTCTTATACGACGCAAATGAGAGGTTGTAAAGATATGTATTTTGAATTTTTTTACAAATTTAAATAATTTTTCATTAATTATTTTCAATTCCAAAATTGTTTTGACAGTTCATTGACACAGCTGCTGGTGTCGATGAGCCTACCTGTATTCTTCTACCATGATTTCAAACTAAGAAATGGAAGAAACGCGTGTTTAAATTTCTTAACAGAGTTCGTTTTTACACAATAAAATCCAATTATTTGCAAGTGTTATTCGTTTGTGAGACGATTCACGGTCAAATTTAATAACAAACTGCAAAAAGTTTGACAGTGAAACAAATCACGAAACGTTAGCCGAAGAGTGATATTTAATATTTGTGATCAGCACATAATTCTAAGCCGACTGTTGAAATCAAGATGTCACAATATTTAAGATAAATAAATGACATTTGGCACAGGCTTTTGTAGCTTAGCCCCATCTCTAGATACATCCCCCATATGACGGTAACTCTTCATTTAAATAGTTTTTTTTAATAAGATTTCTTATAGTACGCCTATCTAATTTTTTCGGTATTTAAATGGTTGTTTTATAAGATTTCTTATAGGACGCCTATCTAAGGTTTTTATTATATGCATTTTACAACAATTTTAAAGAATTTTAATATTTTTTCATTCAAAATTTTAAATTTAAAATTTGATTTGACAGTTCATTTGCTTAGAATAACCCATGGTAGAAGAATATAGGTAGATGCATCAACGCTTGGGAACATTGATATGTCAAACATTTCAAAATATTTCTCCAAATATAAGTAGATTTTTATAATATGCGCTTTTTAACAGTTTTTACAAGTTTGAATAATTTTTCATTCAATAATTACAATTGCAAAATTGATTTGACAGTTCATTTTCCCAGCATTTGTTCCATCCAATTTGCTTAGAATAACCTCCAAAATATGCCCCATTTAAACAACACCATAAAAATGCAACTATTTAACGGCGTGCTGGTCAACCTGGAAAGTCGTCGGCGTTTTGTTTCAAAAATGGGCGCCTGCGACACTTTTATAACAGCTGATCTTGTTGACAACAACAAGTTCATTGCCATTGCCAGGGTTGTCTGTCTGTCTGTGTGGTTGGGGGAAACGATAGATTTTGCCGAGTGGTGGCTACATTGTGTAAATATATTTTATTTACATTTTATTTATTTATGGAAATTTAAATATTGCAAATTTTGCAAACGTCAACATTTCTGTGTTTGTGACCTATTTACGTGTATGCGTGTGTCTAGTCTTTATTTTTCTGTGATTGTCATATCTTGGATTTAGAAGTAAAACACGGCGAGGGCTAGATAAGCGGTGATAGCAATTATAGCTCTTGATAACCAGGAAAGCAAAAAAAGCCCAGTTTCCCATAATTTATGTATAAACAAAGGCATCGACGCGACGAGTTTAGACAAAGGTCAGAAAACAAAAGGCAGTGAATGTGTTAGCAGGTGTGAAAGTCAAAGAATGTGCGTAATATTCTTCTATGTCAATTCAAATCCCCAAAAGGATGGCTACAAGTTAATTTTGGCCTCCAATCGGGATGAATTCTACGCCCGTGATACCAAAGAGGCCAGCCAATGGGAGGGTGTGGACAATTGTTATGGCGGCATTGATATGGAACCGGGGCGTGAAGGTGGCACCTGGTTGGCCATATCTGGTCAGGATGGTATCTTCAAGATTGGAGCTCTACTCAATTTGACCGGTGAACCAAAACCTCGCAATGCTGTGGGTAAGTTGGGGGTGATGGTTTTCCATTGTTGAAAAAATTGCAACAAAATTTGTCACTAAAAGTTTGTGAGCGGAGTAAGGGTGGTAGTTGTTTTGGCTCTGTTTTGGTTTTAATGTTAAATAATAATTGTTTAATATATTTTTTAGTTAATTAATAAGTTTTATATATTTTTCCTTTACTACACAAAATGCTGACCGGATGTTGTGTTTGTTAAAAAAATGTTATTTTATACAAAAATATACACCACCCACATTATCATTCATTCTACGTCACACCAAAAATATGCATCTTTTTAGTTGTAGACCTCATACCTCATCCTCTCAATCAAACACAACAACAAAAGTCTTCCAATTTATCTAATAAAACCTCCTCAACGAATGGCTATAAGACATCCAACAACTATAACATCACAACACCACAAACTAATAGCGACGAATTTAATCATCACACTGAGCTACAAGGACAGATAACAACAACTACACTACCACACCACAATAATAACTCTTTGTTAGGACGCGGCATGCTGGTCAGCGATTATGTTCGTAACTATGGTGAGAAATTCGATAATGTCAATTACAATCAACGTCTGGTAGAGGATTGTAGCAAATATAGTGCATTTAATTTTGTGTCCATTGAAATAGGGTAAGTCACCGAAATCGAATGTGTCTTTTGTTTTATGATTATGGTAGTGTCTGCTTTTTGTAGGTCTTCCAGTACCCCTGCCTTGGTAACTCTTTGCAGTAATGTGCCTCCCGGCCTGGTACATTACAAGGAGAATTCCTGCTATGGCTTTGGCAATAGTTTACCCTCAGCACCATTTGAAAAGGTTCGCTATGGTCGTAATCGTTTTGAGCAAATCATCGATGACAAACCGCCACAAAGCGAATTGGTGGAACAATTAATGTTGTTGCTGAAGTGTAAAGAGAAATTCTGGCCTGATCCCGAACTGCAGCGTAGAGCACCCAATTGGGGTGAATATTTAAGTGCTTTAAATGTCTGCGTACCTGATTGTGGCTATGGCAGTCGTACCCACACGGTCATACTAATCGATGCAAATAATAAAATGCATTTCATTGAGGAGACAATGCGTAGCCAAGATCCCCAGGGGGAATGGTGTAGAAATCACATTGAGAAACAATTTCCATTTTAAAATGATGAGGGACGAAAAATCAATTTCTTTGGCAATAGTAGTTTTAGTAATTAGAGAGACAATGATGCTTTTAGAGTAGCCAGGAGTCCCCGGGGGATTTCAATTTTTAATTGTTTGGCAAAAGTAATAATTAGCAATTAAAGAGACGATGTAATTGTGCTTTTAGTGTAGCCAAGACCCCCACAGTGGGGAATTGTGTGGATAGCACATCGAAATGCAATTTACATTTTTAAATTTTATTAACAACAAAGAGGTTGCCATAGAATTGATTAGTACAGGGCGAGATAAAAAAACTGCAATAAAGTTAATCGCCATAATTTTTACATTTTTTCTTTAATGTTATTTAATGAAAAAAAAACTGTCGGAAATAGCATCAAATTTTTGAAAAAGTTTAGATTTGTTCGAATTAGTCATTTTTGGCACGAATTATGGCCTGCCCGAATGTTGCTCAGCGGTATTTTAGCCCATTCCTGGAGAAGCGCTTGCTTGAGGTGATCGACACTTTGTTTTTTTTAGTGCCAACCTTGCTTTCCAAAATTCTCTAGACAAAATAGTGCAACGGATTGGTATGCGGACATATTGGTGGCCATTGCGCGCTGGAAATGAAGCGAGGAACCTTATTTTGTAACCATTCTTGCGTGGCGCGTGCTGAGTGCGATGGTGCTGAGACCTATTGGAATGTCCAAGGTCTGCGGCCAAAATGTTTGAGTGCCCAAGGCTTTAATACACCCTCCAGAATTTTTCGCGATAAAATTCGGCATTTATTCTGATGCCACCGTCGATTAATACGAGCGGAGAGCGACCCATCGGCTGTTCCAAAAAGTGCAAGATCTTATACCGCTTTACTCCGAGCTCATTTTTCAATATTTGCCGAATGGAATATTGCGATATGTTCAGCTCACGAGCCATTTTTCGCCCACTACGACGCCGCGGGTTTCGATCGATTCGCTTCTTTACTTTTCGAACCATTTCTACTGATGCTGTTTCTGTCTTCTTCCGTCCATTTCCTTGACGTCGGGCTACGCTACCAGTATCACGGTAACAGTGCTATGGTACGAGACAAAAAAGAGTTATTCACATTTAAATGCTGGAGTGCTCTAACGATAGCCACTTGTGGTTTTCCAGCCAAATATAAAGAAATCACACTATCACGCTTGAATTCCATCACGAATAACTTCTTTTCTGGAAAATTCTCACAAAGCTGTCACTGGAAAAGTTTTAACAGCTGTCGGACGAGTGGCTTAGAAATGACAGCAGTTTGAAGTTGGTTGCAGTTTTTTCATCTCACCCTGTATATTTCTAACATTTTTGTAATTAGTGAGATTAGAATATAGTTCAGCTGTAAGGTTGGTCAAGTTCCATTGGAAAATGTTCAATTTGGAAAAGGCTATAGAATCAGCATTGAAAAATAGTTTTTAAATTTTGTAGATTTGATCCAAAGCCTATATAGGGCCGACCAATAAGACAACTTTTGGCAATACTATTATGACTGGACTCTCTTTGAATTTCAAATCACAATTATCTCTTTTTGGAAGGAAACTTAGTTGTCATATGTGCTTACTGGCCAACCTTATATAGGCCACGATTTGGTCACACTGCTTGCCATAAAGTTTAACAATGAGAGACATTATGATACACTTGCTTACTCAGGTTTATATGGTAAAGCTTCGTAAAGTCTTAAGTAGGTTTTTTGTTTTGCCTTAGCATTTCTCCTTTATACCAAATAGTTTTATAATCTAAATGTGATTGTCTCAATTCTAGTAGTTTTTTTTTTTTGCTTTTAACAAATTTTGCTCAGGTCGTCTCTTGTGTTATATGTATCTTGATTTTTCCGTTTATTCAAATAACTTGAAATTAGAAATAAAATAAAAATTGTTTAACATAATTCAACTATAGCATATAGTTTTATAAAATAAATCTATATCGATTTTGTTTTGGACTTCATTGCAAAATAAATATACAAACTGTGTTGTGGTTTTTTTTTTTATCACTGCAAAACAAAAGCATCCCCTCTATTTCTTATAGGTTTTGGCCACTTTGCTTTTGACACCCTTGAGAGCTCCCTTGCGGGCTGCATTTACAATATTTTTAAATGTTCCAGCATGTTTGGCTCGTTTCCTGGGGGAAGATAAAGAAAAAAAACAATTATTGCTTATTTCAAACAAATATGTCTCACAACCTACCTCTTATTCAAGGTATTCCTGCTTAGTGGTATATAAGCATATGGATCCAATTTGCCCTTCTTTTTCATATCACCCTTAGCTTTCTTGTGTGTGTATTCACTTCCAGTATGTTGTGATTTGGCGGATTTGCCCGATTTGGCGGAGTAACCCGATTTCATGGACACCGCATCACTGCTGGCACCACCCAAAGGTCTGTGTATACCCTTGCCGCCGGCTGTGTAGCGTGAGGCAGATGTTTTACCCGAACGCATACTCATCGAATCACCAGCCTTGCGTTTGCGATTGGGTGCGGAGGCCAATTCTTCTTCTGCGAAAGAAAAAAATAGGAGTTAGTTTAATTTCGACTCCATGGCACATTACAAATGGAGCTTCTCGTTTTTTATATGAGATTTATTTCTGGTCTGGTCGCTTTTGCCTACATTCTGGCTCAAAATAAAATTCGTAAAACTATTACAAAATTCGGATAAGATGTACGACGTTTTGAAATTAAGAACCTACATCTGAGACCTAACAAAAGCATTAGCCCGATATGACAATTTTCTTAATTTGCGATGAGTACATTTGGAACCGATAGGAAAAAGTGACAAACTAAGTACTCTACCGCTTCAGTCTTTTTCTCATCTTGACAGAGCCTACAGTAATCGGTGTCATCGTCACTCCACCTAGAAGTCATGGCCCTTATGTTACAGTGATCTGTGATTACTCCCACCACAAAGTTTAGGTCTGAATTCGCAATGGACATCATAGACCTTGATCTTTTCTCAGAGAAAACCGGCCAAATTTTCTAAGAGAGATTGCATACCCATCTATTTAACAAATTTTGTTGAAATCTCCCGAGGTGATGTTTTTGTATCGCTCGGAAGAAGTGGCACAAAATCGGCTTCACCTTGCGGATTCATTGCTAGGGATGTTGCAATGGCCGGGAGACTAACAGAGCTTAATTGACATGAATTTAGCTCTTTCAGGGCAGTCACTGGACCGTTAAGTCCACTACTTTTGTTTGCCAGCAGATCTACGGCTTTTCTGATAGATCTATGATTTGTTCTATGCTTTGATAGAAATTTGTCGATTTATAAAATCGGAAACTGCTTCCCTTATTATTGGCTGAGAATAAAAGTTGTTGTTAAATTCTGAATCATCAGAAAAACTTCACTTTTCAACATGCATTTGTCCTCCGTTAAGAGCCAGAAATGCAAATATTCAAAGATGTGATAAAATCCCTCTTAAATTCTAAATTCGAGGGTGTTCCAAACAAATTTTGATTATTTTCGGAAGGTTTAATCTGGGTTCGCACCCTTGGAAATTCTTGAAAATATTTAAAAATTAAGTTTTCCCAAATTGAATTTCTAAATTCAACTCACCATCACTGGAATCGTCTTCCATGCCACGTTTAACAGCCTTCGAGCCATCCATTTCATCATCAACATCGTCATCATCACTGTCATCTGAATCACTATCACCACCACCTCCACCACGCAGCGCTTTATCATCAATTATCAGACGGCCATCTTCAGCCACCTTAAAACCACGATTGGGATCTTTGGATTTTGTTGTTTTGCCAGACTTGTCTGTAGCAGCTTGTGGGCGGTTGGCTATACAAAAACAAGACAAAAAAATTAACATTGGCAACAATAAAACCAACCATTTGCCACGTCTTACTCAAAACATTTCCAATTGATTTGATATCAGCCAAATCGACAATATCCTCAGGATCTTCACGTATAAAGGTATCACGATCTTTTTTCGATTTCGATTTATCACGGGCAGGTGTGTCATCTTCATCCATATCTTCGGGTAAATCTGAATCGGAGTCGGCCAAAATGTCATCAATACTAAATACAAAAGAGACAGATAAATATATTATTTCTCCTCCTAATATCCAAACTTTTGATAACCTACGTAACACTCTTCTTTTCCAAGCCGCTGACAAACTCTTCCTCTGATGCCTCATCATCACTGTCTTTTCCAGCCTCTTCAGACTGTTTCTTGCGATTATCACGTCTCAATTGTTTGCGTATCTTTCGGAGGCGACGGTGTGTCACTTCATCATCACCGGGTACAAATTTAATCAAATCTTCGGCGGTGAAACGTTTGCACAACTTCTTCAACAAATAACCAATTTGTATGCGACAATAGCGTTTGGTATCTTTGACCATGGCGGATAGGGATTTCATCTGGAATGATTTTTCGGAAATTATTATAAAATTCTTATCACTTCAATAGCTATTTCAACTTACAATTGTCTCCAAATGATTGGCTACCAGCGGTGTTGGCATAACCTTAATAAATGTGATGAGGAAAGCCACAGATGCCTCAGCCTGAGATCTTGACTTTTGTACCAGAAATACAGCAATTTGTTCCATTATGAATTCCAATGTACTAACTGTCAAGTGTTTTCCATGTGTGGCCAATACTGTGCGGAAGGCTAATATGGTATTGGTAATTAAAGATTCATCTCCAGCAAAACCTGCCGTTAATATATCAACAAAATCGTTGAGTTTCTCAGCTTCTTGATAGAGATTTAAAATTAATTTCAAAATCTCCTCGGAAACATTTTCTTTTCGTGTGGAGAATTCTTTGTAATTAAGTATAGCTTCTGGTAAAGTTTTGGTGATGATTTTATCCCTATAGGTAAGGCCTTTGCGGGTTTCGATGAGGATTTTTAGGCATCTGGAAAAAATGAAACATAAACATGAGTCAACGAGGCATTACGTTTATATGCCTGCCTTTCATATTTACCTCAAACGTGCAGCTTGACACACAGCACAGCTGGTGGTGAAGGCCTCCACAAGTACCTTTTGCAGAGCCACTAGATTTTTCCTTGTGAATTTTTGGCACGATGCCGCCTCTGAGGTTAAAATGTCACGCAATAATCTAAGCAGCAGAATAGAAGGGAAATTAGAAGAACATCAGATTATTTTTCATCAAATAATTACTCATAAGTCTTGCGCTGTTGTTTCTTCAATTTCTGCTCATCCTTGGTGACCAATTTTGATTTCTCATTTTTCATTAGTACCGGCACAATGTAGCTCTCGAAGAATTCACGAATAACTTCACATGTTTGGAAGAGTACCAGGGCTGCGGTAATATCAAATATAGAATCATATTCAAATGTGCCAACGGCGGTGGCCTGTAGCTGTTTATAGGCTGTATCATAGAGTTCTTTGAGCATATCACCGGGGGTTTTTGTTAAATACAACTGAAAGGAAATAACAACAATTACATTCCACATAATAAATTGTAAATATAACATCCAAACCTACCTTAATAACTTCCAAGGACTTCTTCCTCAAATCCTGTTCATAGGTACCATTGGGTTTTTGTGTATAGATATTGAAAAGGCGCGGTAAAAAGTTCTTGGCATATTTCCCCAACAATTCATGGACCACAGTTTGTTCCTCATTTTGTATTAACTCAATGAGACCATCAAATATGGGTGCTCTAAACTCTGGATTGTTATCAAGAGCATTACCCAAAGTCGGTGCAATTAATCTAAAGTTTTCTGGATCACGAGGTACTCTACAAAAACCTGGAAACAGACCCCATAATTGACAGCACAGCAACTCGTAAGTATGGGCCATTGGTACATCCTTTTCTTCGGCAAATTTATGCCATTTGACATTGCAATCTAAGGCCAAAGCCAAAATGACTTCCTTGAAAAATTTAAATGTTGCCCCAGTGGCGCCCTCTCTTAACAATGGCAAAAGCCAAGATTTTTCCAAAACCACATCACCCTTGGCATTGGTTAGGGGTATGGATTTCAATACCACTTCCGGACCCATACTTTTAATGGCCGCAATAATGCTATGCTCAATTTGTATTCTCAATGCACTTTGGGTATCATAACGTTTGGCCAGTTCCACCAGTGAAGGGGCCAATTCTCTGGTGAAATATTTACCACAAACTTCAAAGATGATTGAAAATGTCAACACCACATATTTGGCCACTTCGCCAAATGGTGCACTCAACACCTTGTGGATGGAAGCTAATATTTTTGTTATAGCCACCCGGTAGATATTAGACAATTCTTCAGTCTCACAGGCTGGTTTGACACATTCATACAACAATTCCTTAATGGCATTCGATACACCATTAATAATTTCACTTCTGTCCGAAAGCCACAGATCTCCACTCAAAATCTCCATGAGACGTGGCAAGGCATTTATGCACAAATTCAAATCCAATTGGACCAAATGGACATGACCTTCTTTCAACACGGTAATCCAGGCAAGAGTTTGCCTAAAATCTGAACGATCCGGACGATATTCATGTATGGCTGATAGTAATTTAGCACACAATACTCCGTTCAAATTTGAGGTGCGTGAAAGGAACAGAGCATGCAAGGTTTGTAGGCAATTTGTGCGTACCAAAATATTGGCTGCAGTCATAATCGAAAGCAAATGCTCACAAACACTACGGATATCATCGGTTTTGAAACCACTAATGGTTTCCTTTAGTAATGCCAAGGTATGCAGCACGGTAGTTTGTTGTTGGGCCAAAACTTCGGGTTTGAATTGATTCAAGCAGAATTTTGTAACACGATTGCTGGCTGGATGTGCCTTGATTTGTTGTTGATTTGCATCTGGCTGGGGGCTATCACCATCACCATCCTCCTCATCTTTAGGTTTGGGCGGCAACATAAATGAACTACCATGTATTATGGAGACAATTGCATGTTGAGCTGATTTGCGTATCTAAAACGAAAGATCGGTTCCATAGAATGGAAATCAAAAATCACATTTTTTTTATCGGTACATACCTTTGGCTTAGAATGTATGCAAAACGAAAGAAGTGTATCAATATACTGCCAGGTCGAGGAATATGTCCAGGTCATATAATCCTGGGCTCTCAGCAATACCGACAAACAACCAATTATCTAAAATTAAAAACATATTAAAAAATTCACCTCATTACCTGTGGTACATGACTTACATATTTCATAATATTCTGATTGGGCGAATCAATGAAACGCTGCATACATGACATTAGGGTCTGAGCAGTTTCACTGAAACGTTTCCTCAACACAGGGGCTGGTACTGATTTAATACCCATACCCAGCAATGATATACCAGCAATAATATCCTTATCCTCTGTACTGGCTTCGATCTGTTCCATCAACAAGAGGAAATACTCTGTGGACGATTCATTACCACCACGTTCTTTAATGATCTCGGTGAGGGCTGTTAAAATTGCCAACATTTCTTTGTGTAAATCTGAAGATGCCCTGAAACCCACCAGCAGTTTCTTGAAACTCATATTACTACAGGTACTGTAGTTGGAGGCGAATGTTTTAAAGGTTTTAAAGGTACCACCACCTTGGGACTCGGACATTAGTTCATCATCTTCGTCTGTTATGCTAAACGATTTCAAACTACCAGCAACATCATTGACCGTTGTGGTGTCGGCATTATAGGCCAAACGTTGTTCATGTTTTAACACAGCTTCCAGAGTCAGCGAGTTGGGGTTCTTGGTTTCTTCCTTGGGAACTACAAATAAAGGGGTTCAATTATTCATTGTTTCTTTAATAATTATTCTTATCTTACCCAAACTCAAATTTGGTTGAAAAAATCTCGACTTGGCTTTGAGGCGATGTTTCATTTGTTCAGGATTCGAAGTGGACGAGTGACCTTTACTCCAATTCTTTCCCTTGGTATGACGCTTTAGTTTTGAACGAAACTTTCCCATTTTCTTTCTTTTTGTAATATTTTCTTTTGAGTAAAACTTTAGAATGCACCAAACACGTGCGACCCAGCACAACAATTCTCTTTGAGAGTGCTTCTTCTTATTACTTGAAGACAAGTGTGAGATGGTAACTTTCATGTCATAAACAGGGTTTGCTAGATCGACTAAATTCGAATATGAAATTTTATTTTATGAGCTTATTATTTGGTTTTTTTGTATCGAAATCTTAAATACATAATTTATTTGTCATAGGAGTGTGGATTTAAATATAATACATGTTGTGAGAGATTAGGAAACTTCCATTTCCAGTATTAATTGAGGCCCTTTCCAACCCGAAGGCCGTAATCCCTGACAACCTTGTCGGCTTGGTAACAACGCCGTTACATGTAAATTCTTTTTATCAACTATGAAGTGTGAACCAGTTGTTGAATGTGTCGTATCAATTGCAATTGCGTGAAGACAGAACGAATTTTCATATACAATGAGTTTTCTATAGAAAACAAAAGCCAAGAGATAAAAAACAGCAAAATAACTATAAAATATTTAACAATTTTCATAATTTCAAAGGAATTTTGTGAAAATAACGTGATACGGAATAGATAAAAAAGGTTGAATTTCCAAAGGAATGTAAACGTGTACGTGTGTATGTGTGTGCCTATTCTTCACGTGTATGTGTGAGTGTGCGTTTTTCTCGTTTGGACAGAAAAAGTTGGAGTAGAAACTACATTTCCTAGGTGGCATCCCAATCAACTCCTACCACCGTAGCTCCGACAAAAAGGAGGCCAATCATATACCCCCTTTAATTTGTAACAATATGGACATCATTTCTTAACGTTCCCCCGCGTTTCCCAAACATACCAACATCAGCAGCTCCTGCAATTTTTGCTTTCGTAAAACTCTGTAATCTTGTTGGGGATATAAAAATAAAATTTATTCTTATTTCCTTATTAACATTTTATCGTCACACATTGGGGAACCCAAAATTATATCCTTATTTTTAGTTATCCGTTGTTTGGCAATTACGCTCATCATTGGTTAACATTTTCTTCTTTTTGGTATTGCTTTCGAAATTGTTTTGTTTTAATTTTCTCTCTCCTTTCCACCTTTGTTCGCATGCTTTTCATTACAAAAAAAAAATAAATAATAATAATAAAATAAAAAAGAATAATAATACAGTGTGAACGAGAACAAGCCATCAATCGGTTATTGTGTTGTGTGTTGTTACGAACAAGTGCGAAGCATAACAAGTGAATATAAATAATAATAACAAAAAACTCAGCGTTGCCACATTCAACGATTTTGTGACCCAACCAGAAGAGAGAGCGTGAGCATTTGACAAAAGGGAAAAAATACCCAAACAAAATTCAACAGAACAAAACCGAGCCGAATCGAACAAAAGTGTGCAACAGTTTGTTTACGGAAACGACAGACATTTTAAATGAGAAATACAATGCTATTGAAGTTTACAAAAACCAGTAGTGGTACTGGAGCTGGTTCCAGTTCATCCACCACAACATCAGGAGGCATGGCAGGAACGTATATTGTGAGAGCACCAGGTAAGTTTTGTAAATTAAAAAATACAAAAGATAGGAAGAAAATAATTTTGCATTTAAGTATTTATTGCAGTGATTCACAGTGAGTGAAGTGATCTGTTTGTTTGCAATTTGTGATGAAACCGGTTACAATTATATGACAAATCAGCCAAACCGTAGCGTAGGCTTAAGGTAGCTTCTACTAAACAATGTGAATGTAGATAGCCCTAGGGTTTTATAAAAACGGTGAATACTGACTTGAATTACTCTGAAAAGACAAAGGGACTGGCAAAATTTCTAGAAGTGACAACTTCACGAAAAATGGATTGGTGTCCTGTCCGTATTGAAACAATGTTACGGAAGAAACCTAAATAGTTTGGATCGGTCGAATATTTAACAATCTTTTGATTCTTAGGATCAGGACTTTAAACACTGGGGTGGGGAATGACCAGCACGATTTAACGATCTGCATAGTTTATTAAAGAAGACAGAGGCTAAAAAGGACGAACTTGTTCTATATAAAACCGTTTTATTGAGAGAGAACAATAAGAATACATACGGATGCAGTCGTAGAAGACTTCTTTTCTAGAAGTTTAGAAAGATTTATGGAAAGATCATAGAAAACTGAAAGAACGACCATAGGAGTACAGGAGGACTTTTTACTAAAGACAAAGACGGAGGCTATCAATTGTAACGTCTAGACAGATAAACTCTACCCTGACAAATCAGGAAATTTAGAAATGATGACAGGGAATAAAGAGGACAAAAAACAGATCTATTGAGAGAGAATGATAAGAATACACAGGGATGCAGTGACGGAACAATTCTTTAAGAAATCTTTTCTAGATCTCTGAAAGATTTTTTGCGGAAAGATCATAGACAACCGAAAGATAATCCAGAATGCCAACAGAAAAACGTTCACAGGTCTTTTTACTAAAGGAAAAGAAAACCAGAATGTCGTATATATGTAGAATACCAATGAAGAAGTCCAGAAGGGTTTTCATAGAGGAACAGTTGGTCCTCTAATAGAAGACTAGTTGGTCTTCCCCTAGAAGGCCAATTTTATTTATTCATTATTATTTTAAAATTTGTTTAATTTTTATTTTGGAATTTATTTCAATTTTATCAAAATTTTTTATCAATTTAATTTCTCTAAAATTATTTCCTTCTTTACATGGCAATAACTTTCCCAATTTAACGTGTTTAGGTTAAGTAAACTCTAAGGATTCTTTCGTTTTGATTGGACGCCATAGCAAAAAAAAAAAAACAAACAAGTAATGAACCCAACGTATTTCCTTGAGTTTGTCCCTTTTCTCTATTAACTCACCCATCCACCCACAACATGACCACATTCATCAAACGGCCTTCAAGGCAAACTTTAACTAATTATTTTCAATTTGTTTGTTTAGGACAGGCTAATGCCTGAAATTAAAGAAATCCTACGAATTGTTGCCCTTCACAATTGCAGGGAAGTGTAAAAGAGAAAGGGAACCAGAAATAGAAATGATTTTTATCTTTCATCCCGTATCTCTTTTGCGCTCTGCCGTTCCTTTACCTCAATCACAATGTGAAGTTGATGAAAACCACAACTAATTTGTAATTAATGGCAATTTCGGCCATACATTTCAATTAGCCATAAGTGATGTACAAAAACAAACATACAGGTGGGTAGGATTGTCATCGGTGTATTCGTTCGGGAATATCCAGCAACAACAACAGGTCAAAAGTGTCAAACCACAGAATATCAAAGCTTATTTTTAGACCCACAAAACCACAAAGAAACATTACTGCTAATTTGCATTTTGGGAAAAGTATTGATTTTTAATTTACATACGTACAGGCAAGGTTAAGAGACTATGTATTTATGTGTGCGTAGCTGGCTATAGAGAAGTTCTTGATGTTCTTGGAAATAATTGCTATGTTATGTATTTATGAGAGCGATATATTTAATATATTTAGTCCTTGTGATTTTTTATGGCCAGAGTGTGCCTCATCGAAATACATTTTATGTCAAGGAACGACTAAAAAGAGAACACATTTTATTGAAGTCTTCTAAACTAAAAAACAATCAATTTAAAATGTATATCCTGAGCTTAGTCCTTGTGATTTTATATGGCCAGAATGTGCCTCATCGAATTACATTCTATGTCAAGGAACGACTACAAATAGAACATACGAAAATGCATGTGTGTGAGGAAAAATAATATTCTTGAGAGTGTGTGAGTGAATTGTTTCCATTTGACGTACAGGGTGAGATAAAAAACAGCAACCAACTTCAGACTGTTGTCATTTCTAAGCCAGCTGTTAAAATTATTCCAGTGAGAGCCCATTATATTGTTTTCAAGCGTACAAAAGCTTTTTGTGAGAATTTTCCAGAAAAAAGGTTATTCGTTATGGAATTCAAGCGTGATAGTGTGATTTATTTATATTTGCCTGGAAAACCACAAGTGGCTATCGTTAGAGCATTCAAGCATTTAAATGTGAATAAATTTTTTTGTGTCTCGTACCGTGATACTGGTAGCGTAGCCCGACGTCAAGGAACTGGACGGAAGAAATCAGCAACATCAGCAGAAATGGTTGGGAAAAGTAAAGAAGCGACTTGATCGAAACCCGCGTCGCAGTGGCCAACGAGCTGAAATGGCTTGTGAGCTGAACATATGGCAATATTCCATTCGGCAAATATTGAACAATGAGATCGGTGTAAACCCATTGAAATTCCAAAAAGTGCAAGAACTTACACCGCAACAGAAAAAAAATAGACTCAAAAAGGGCTAATGAGTTGCTTCGCTTGGCCGAAAGTGGTGAACTGCCGAATATGGTTTTCTCCGATGATCGTGTTTACTTGCCAAAGAGGTCAGCTGAAAATATGCACCTTCGGTTGGCCACCAGAACTCAAGCGCCGGCCATGGTGATGGTGTGGACCGCCATAACAACCGATGGTCGCTCTCTGCTCGTATTAATCGACCATGGCATCAGAATAAATGCCGAATATTATCGCGAAAATATTCTGGAGGCCCACAAACATTTTGGCCGCAGATCTTGGACATTCCAACAGGGCTCAGCACCATCACACTCAGCCCGCGCCACCCAAGAATGGTTTCAAAATGAGATTCCTCGCTTCAATTCCAGCGCACAATGGTCACTAAAATCTCCGGATACCAATCCGACTGACTATTGTGTCTGGAGTATTTTGGAAAGCAAGGTTGGCACTAAAAAATACCAAAGTGTCGATCACCCCAAGCAAGCGCTTCGCCGGGAATCGGCCAAAATACCGCAGAGCAACATTCGGACAGCGTTTGACGGTTTCATTGGCCGTTTGAAGGCCATAATTCGTGACAAAGGTGACCAATTCAAACAAGTCTAAACTTATTCTAAAATTTGATGCTATTTCCGACATTTTTTGGTTTCATTCAATAAAATTTAAAAAAATGTAAAAATTATGGCGTTTAACTTTGTTGCAGTTTTTTATCTCACGCTGCAAGGTTCTCCTTTCCGATCTTTTTCATTATTTTAGCCTATTTTTATTAAAAAACATGAATTTATTTAAATTGTGTCTTCTTGATCCAAAGTTGCGCTAAAAGATAAAATTTTTCCATTTTTTTTTTCAAAAACATCTGGGCAAAATATTCAGAATTTTTCGAAACAAAAGTTGAAAAATAGGTGGTGTAATAGGCTGAGTGTATTAATATTTTGGCGAAATACAGATACCTATTATTGACAACTTCTAGGAGGGTTGGTTTCAAAACATGCCTGCTATTTTCAAGAAACCATTTTTACTTCCAAAAAATCCAAAAATGTTTTACTTAGTTTTCAAAATAAAAAAAAAAATGTTTTTATTTCCATTGCAATTTGTTTTTTTATACCCTACAACACTATGTGTTGGGGGTATTATAAGTTTGATTGGGCCAGAATTTATGTAACACCTCGAAATATTGGTTTCCCATATAGGAAAGTATATATGGATCTTCCTAGCTCGCCGAGCTGAGTCGATCTAGCTATGTATGTCCGTCCGTCCGTCTGTCCATGTTAATTTGTAATCACTCTACAGGTCGCAATTATGGCCCGATCTTCATGAAATTTAGAATGTAGGTGGGGTTAAGGTCAGAATAGAACCCTATTTCTTTTGGAGATGATCGCATAATATTTAGGGGTTGAAATGGACCAAAAACTGAAAAAATTCCTGATTTTGCAGTTGCTCTACAGGTCGCAATTATAGATCAATCGACGCGGAATTTCGCATGTAGCTAGAGTTTAGGGCGGGAAAGAAGCCTACCAATTTGGGTGGTCATCGAATAATATTTAGCGGGTAAAATAGACCATATATTTTGTGTTGAAAAAATTCAAAATTTTTCATTAAAACGCGAATATTTTAAATCCCGGCGAAATAACAAAGCCATGACAAGGTTACTTCTGATCTTTACATTGATGTTATTATCCAACAAATCGGATATATAGCAAAATATGTGCGATATATATGTCTATCAAAGAAGATATGCTTGAAAGATCTCTTATATGTCGAGAACGGCTGAACTGATTTCGACAGTTCTCATAAATTCACAATGGCCTCTTGGCAGGAAAGAAAAAATGTCTAAAAAAATCGCATAAAAATATCTCTCTAAAGATGAAAATATTGATTTTCTAAAATTTTCTCATATTTTTTCAATTTTGTCATATTTTTGGCATATTTTCATTTTGAATTAAACATTTGATAATACTTCTACAGCTAACAAAACTAAGTAGTTAGGATATCAGGATATCATATACAGATCGCATTTATGGCCCGATCCTTACGAAATTTTGTATGGGGATAAGATGAGGGTCAGAATAGAAGCCTACTCTTTTTGGAGATGATCGCCATATATTTAGGGGTTGAAATGGACCAAAAAACTGCAAAATTGTCAGCAGGTTGTAATTGTCGCCCGATCCTCAGGCACATTTGAATGGGGTTACCGGACATTGCAAAAGCCAAGCAGTTTTGGATGGCCATCCAAAAATATTCAATGTGTGAAATAGTTTGCCAACTT